TTTGAAAGAATCAGAAGTTTCATACGTGACACAGTTATTTTTGTAGAATTTTGCAGAAGAACAAAGATAGACAAATATCCATTACAAGAAATCATCAGCATCAAAAATTTTGCAAAATTATCAAACATAAATTAAGACTGAAGTAGAAAATGACCAGTCGCAAATGTGAACAAGAATTGAAAGTAGCTAATCCAAAACGAACTCATTTGCTGATTGTGATACGGGCAATCTCTGAATATTTAGTTGATGTCGTAAGCTTTCTACACTTCGTTGCATGTCACCTTTGTCCATTTCAGCAGAATATGCCACAAAATGCTTGACAAACTCTGAAAATAAACCTGCCATAGAATTTCTTCGTCGGATGTCGTTTGCTTTAAGGTAATAGAGCGAAGAGCAAAGTAAATATCAAGGCTGTTGCACGAAACTGATTAATATTTGGCAATGCTTCTAAAAATTTTGTCCTAATTGATAATTCAAAGGGTCTTTTTTAACGTCTATCGGCATTGAAAATATAGAAGCACTTTATTTTCTTTGTATTGAATCAAGTGAATTAAATGTATGTTTTAAGTAATTTTAACAGAACCAACAGTAAAATAAATTACTCGAATATCTTTAAAAATTTTGCAAATATTTGTATTAATGTCAACGAAAGTTAACGGCTTATCAAAAATGAGCTCTGGAAAAATCAATTTTCAAAGGAATAGCGCTTTCTTCTGAAGTAAACGCAATGAACTTATATGTTTTTTTCTTTGAAGAATTTTGTTACGTTTTAAATCTTAGCGCAGAATGCCAGATGCATATGTAAGAAAATTGCTGTACATTTTCGAAGCAAGAACTTCTGATGACTATAGAATTTCATGCTTGTTGCTTCAGCTATAAAGTATTTCATGGTGGACCACACTCTTCTGAGAACTTAACAAACACTTCAGTTAAGAAGACAACTTTTCCAGCATTAAAAATTAGCAACTTCATAAAGGCAAAAAAGCATCCAGGACAGTTCCAGTGATGACAAACTTGACAATTTAAATTTAAATGACTTATTCTAATTCTTGGCATGTAACAATAGTAATGAGGAAGTAGATACGATGGCTTCTTAATTCGCTGAAAAACTTAAAGTTGATGAGGTAGTAAAATACAAGTCCCGTATTTCACATATAAAATGTAATTCTCGAGAAACCAATTCAGATATAACAAATATTCTAATATGTTAACTCCGATGTCAGCTAAATGAATTATTCTGCCTTTACGAGCTTAACGCTCATCATGATCATCAGTAGTGAGTGGGTTTCTCGAGAATTTAAACACCTTTAGCAAGAAAAGAAGAACAGTCCCAAGGAAAGAACAGCCCCCTCGCTTTAGATTTAAAAACCAAAGTCATTAGGCAGTGATGATTTCTTCGTTTTATTAAGCTTCTTAAAATTCTGATCACACAGAAAACGAATCACCCAGATGCCGTCATTATCATGATGACTAAGCTTGGCGAACGAAGATTTGGAAAGGGCTCTACCACGCATGCCGCAAACGCTACAAATTTGGGTGTATCCTTCCAACTGCGCAGTGGATTTTTTAAGATGAGGCACAGTGTGTGCGGTACTGGCTCCACCCTTACTCTTAAGGTTCATCTGGGAGGGCCTAGCGAACTAGGATGGTAACAATGAAGTCCTAAGGACATACGTTTTGTTAGATTAAACTTCTCTTAGATGGATGGCCTTACAAGGCTAAACAAGCGCTATCTATCAGGGTTTGGAGTTAGAGTTGTCCTTCTTCAGATTGGTTGACGGGAGGTTAACGAGCCTGTCCTGTCCGTAGACACACATTGTCAGACCCTTTAATTGAGACCCCTTTTGGCTTGGGAGACTCTACCAGAGAGACATTCCACCGCCAGCATGGCTCGCAACCACACAAGGCACGCAAGCTTCTCCCCGGCGACAAAGAGGTGTCCGTGGAGAAGCCAAATATAAAATATATAAGCCTTAAAGTATATGACAGAAACGTCGCCAAGTTTAACGGAAGGTGCAAAAGTACAAAAGAAACTTAGTTGAATTCTACCCTTAGTTCTCCATGCGGTCAGAATTAGAAGAAAAAAAAACTTCGGATATAAATGGTATTGCTCAGTAATTCCTGAGCTAGACAACCATGTAGCTACATCTTTCAGATAGTGGATAACGATTGGTATTTGTGTTTGAATACACAACAACAAAGTGATTTTAATTTGGCTCATAACTTTAGTCATAAGCCAGTCCTATATGATAAACAAAAGGAGATGACAAAATCATATGCTATCAAAAAGTGATTTAATGTGATCACATTCATGATTCCGGGTATAATCAATTCCTTGAGGAAACCTACTTTTTTGATTGATCCAATGGTAGCAATGCATGTTGTAAACAATTTGACTTGGAGTAAGCCACAAATATTTTGGTCTGTTAACCGTTGTCAATCATTCATTCTAGCTAATTCAAGTGAATGCTGAGAGCAATTTGATAGATGTACGAGTCAATACAGTACATGAGGTACACGACGTTGAGCAGATATTAAACCATAGATAACGTTGGTAGTACAACAAATATCAGCATTTATCTACAGCGTTCGCTCGCGCATTCTAAAGATTGAAAATTTTATTTCTCGCCAGAATTGAAAACAGCTAGTAAGGCCTGCAACTGTTGCAAAACAACTTAATCGCTAAAAATTATAGAGATTAACGAAAGCAGCACTCGTCCCGGCAGTTTTCTGCTACCACAATCTTACAGTCGAAAATTTTCAACTTCAAATATCCTGTGTTATTCCATCCATCCCTACCCACATCTATTAGAGGATGTGGGTAGCTTCACCGAATAAATGTGAATGGTATGGCACTCAGAAACTGTCGAAGCTACCACCACAGGAAAAACAGGTTATTTCTTCCTGTAAATCTGCTTTCAAGAGGACTGCTAGAAATTGAAGAAACATGTATTACTGCTCGAAAAATCATAGGTTTCCATATATATTGCAAATGACGCCAATCTGATATCGATAATAATCTGCCTTCCTTCCTCTGTTCTCCTACTTCTTCCCTATTCAATTGTTGTCTTCCATTTGTTTGCATGAGAAATTTCTCGATCTTTGGTTCCTAGATCAGGGCTAGAATAATAACACCCCGGTTTCACATAGTAAATAGCAGCGCCAATGAACCCTTCATGAAAAAAAAAAAAAACCGATTAGACCAATGAAAATTATTACATACCACTTATAGTACATAGCTACCGCAATATTATACTTTTGATTTCGTAACGGTAGGAAGGAATCTAAAATTTGGATAGGTGCAATATTTCCAAACGCAAATGAGAAACACAAAATTTCAGGACTTGCAGCTGTAGTGCAGAAGACATCTTGCATAGCATGAAAGCAGGAAGTGAAATTAAGTTGTAAGTGAAAGTGATGCAAGTGCGGAAGTGTTACATAGAGCAAAGTCACACCTCGATACCACTCCATTCTAAAAAATATGAGGCACACTACAGGTAACTTGCTATCACTTTCCCTCACACATCCATTCATTCGATGTTTATTTTAAAACAAGCATTAGGAAGTGCGAAATTGTCAGTATTTGTGAATTTTGAGAAACAATATAACAAAGAGAGAAAGAGGCTGTGGGAAGACGAAAATTTCTGAATCAGTAGGAGTAAAAGTGCGTAGGGGATAATTATGTGTCCCAGCTATACAAGGCTGGCTTAAGAGAAAGATTCTCTGGCCCTGGTCTTCACTAGTTATTGGTCCAGAAACTCATCAATTTGCTGAGAAAGAGAGGGTCCTATTCTATTCATGCTATTCTGGAATACGACTTTCCATGCATCAACACATGCGCCCACCTCTCATCCATCCGTTCTTCTTGTTTCACCCACCCATTCCGGCCATTCGTTCTATCTATCTATCTAATCTACCTATCTGTCTATCTATCTATC